ATCCCCCAGCACCAGCCAGGACGCGGCTCTCGGGGAGCGGAAAAAAAACAAAAAAAAAACCCACGCTGAGGCCATTTCTTCTGGGGAAGCACTGGTTCCACCCTCCTCGAACAGGCACTTGTGATCAGAAGGGCCTATTTTAAGTAGTAGCAGGAATCGGTGACTTGCTGTCACATGCTGCCGCTGTGCCCAGCGGGGCCAGGCGGGAGGCAGAGCCGGGCGCGGGAAAGCCGGGCAGGCGACCCACACCTGCACCAAGCTTTCGGTTTCTCAGCCCTGTGCGAGGGGACAGGGGAAATCCCCGCCGAGGACGCAGCCTGGGTCAGATCTGAAAGCGAGTAGCTGCTGTTTCAGGGAGAGGATGTGAGTTATCTTAAAATGCAGCTTCTTCCAGGTCGCAAAAAAAACAAGGCCTCAGATAGGGCAGAAGCCAAATCTAGAAGACAGTTAGGCATTTGCAATGCTATTAAAAAAAAAAAAAAAAGTTATTCTGTCCTCACAAGCAGGAGCCCGCCGGCTGGGCTGTGCTGGGGCCAGAGGCACCCACTTCCCTCGGAGAGGCGCTCGCTCTTCGCCACGCGCGTGTGCGGACACCAGCCCCCGGAAAGCAGAGAACAGAGCCCAGTCTCTCACGGAAATTAATGAGGCTCTTTCCAGTCCAAGTCTCACGCGGTTTCCACTCGTCCAAGCGAGGCCGAGGCCGGGCTGCGCGTTTTGCCGAGCGTGCCTCGAGAGAACGGCCTCCAAACGTTTTGCAGCGCAGTGCACTCCTCTCTCCCGCGAGCTTTCCAGGAGCGGCCATCACCCCGGGGCTGGGACGCACCAAGATCCGGCGCTTTACCGTTAGCCTCTCCGCAGCTTGGGAAAACACGCACCCAGCGCTGCCGCCCGGACGCTCCTCCTGGGAGCCCTTCGCCCCAGGGCAAAGAGGAGGGCGCGTGGTTTGGGGCATGCCCGTGTCCACGCCACGGCCATCAGCGTCCTGGCACAGCCCAAGGAGACTGGGCTAAGCCCCATCCAGATGGGGAACAGCAGCACCCGGTCGGGGCAGAGGGGGAAGACGAGAACGCCCCCACCTTCGCCCAGCTCCTCCCTCCACTGGAGCAGAAAACTGCTTGGTTTTCCTGTTGTTAAGTCGCCAACAAACAAGCGCATCCAACAGCTCGGTGAACTGCGTGGGACCGGCCCCACATCCTCCGAAACTGCCCCCGCGACATCCCAGCTCCGGGGCAGAGGCGGGGAGACAAACGTCAAGACGCAGCGTCCTGCCGGGACCCAAGATGCGAGCCCAAGCGCTCGCGAGCCGTTTGCGCCCCTCTGGCTGCCGGGACCGGGCTAGCAGAAACCACCTCGGAGACTTCCCCGCGTAGCAGAAGATCGCGTGGA